GCATGTTGCTCTTTTTTTGTCTCTCATTGAATCTACCATTTCCTTTTGACCTATTACACGACTCTATTACTAGCATTGTTGGACGGTGTTTTGCGTTCCGTCTGTTTACCTGGGACTTTCTGATCTATGTGCACGCATGGCCTGTATCATACAATTTTTCCTCCACTCCCCATTTGTGTTCTTGATTGGATACCCGGACGCATAGCAGCTACTACCTACTCGCAGTCAGCTGGCTGCACGTTACGAGTTAAGTTCCGGTCCGTAGTCTGGCTGCATTAGTAGTCGAGGGACAAGGGGTGTAAGTGGGATGTTTTGCTTTTCTGGGTAGGACAATGTCCGACGTGGTTGACTTTCAGACCCTGCATCTGCATCTGCAAGCAAGATGGTGGCTGCCAGGATACCCGGTCCATCTATAAGACGAAAGGCCAACTGGCGACAGGGCAGGCGGGCCGACACTCCGACCAAACCAAGCGGGTAATCTTCGGGGCATTTCGTGGCTGCTCCTTCGGCCATTCCTCCCGTCGATCCGCCATTCATGATGTTGATCCATGATGCATTCCATCCCACTTTGCAGCCATCGGATGCATGGATGATTCAGGCGGGGTGCCAGGTACCGTTGAGTTCCGGATATATGAACTCCTCCGTCTGCCCCGCTTCAACCACTTGTTTCAGTACTAGTAGCAGTCCTCGACTCGAGTCAGTGTGATCTGTGATAAATTTATACTTCAATCCCTCCCTTCCCGTTCCATTACCGACGATTCTCCGGCTCTTTAAACTAAACCCCGCTGCACAACCTGCAGTTAACTCGAATGCCAGTCCATCTACTTCTCGAATTACAATAAATTCACCCTCCCGTCTCCGTCACCATGGCACGTCTGGACGTGGAAAAGACCATTGAAGAGCTCACGCTGGGCGAAAAGGTAGCTCTCACGGCCGGCAAGTAGCGCCCTACAACCGAATTATAAACAGAAAAGATCACTAATCATCACAACAGGCGTGGATTTCTGGCACACTGCCTCAATTTCCCGACTAAACATCCCCGCTCTGCGCATGTCCGATGGTCCCAATGGCGTGCGAGGCACCCGCTTCTTCAACGGAATCCCAGCCGCCTGTTTCCCCTGTGCCACCGCCCTCGGAGCAACCTGGGACGCCCATTTGCTGCACGAGGTGGGCCAGCTCATGGGTGACGAGTCCATCGCTAAGGGCTCGCATATCGTGCTCGGTCCCACCATCAACATCCAGCGCTCTCCGCTCGGCGGTCGAGGCTTCGAGTCTTTTGCCGAGGATGGCGTACTATCCGGAATTTTGGCTGGAAATTACTGCAAGGGATTGCAGGAGAAGGGCGTTGCTGCCACGCTAAAGCACTTTGTCTGCAATGATCAGGAGCATGAGCGTATGGCGGTCAGCAGCATCGTCACTATGCGTGCCTTGCGTGAGATATATCTGTTGCCGTTTCAGTTGGCCATGAGGATATGTCCTACTGCTTGTGTTATGACGGCCTATAATAAGGTCAATGGCACGCATGTCAGTGAGAATAAGGAGCTTATTACTGATATACTCCGTAAAGAGTGGGATTGGGATGGTCTGGTTATGAGTGATTGGTAAGAAACATCTCTATAAATAACTGCCTAGCATGGATATTAACAGTGCCCCAGGTTCGGAACCTACAGCACCTCCGATGCTATTGCTGCTGGTCTGGACCTCGAAATGCCCGGCAAGACACGCTGGCGTGGCTCTGCCCTGGCGCATGCTGTGTCGTCCAACAAGGTACCAGAATTCGTTCTGGATGACCGTGTCCGCAATATTCTTAACCTCATCAACTGGGTCGAGCCTCTGGGCATCCCCGAGCACGCTCCAGAAAAAGCCCTTAACCGGCCCCAAGACCGGGAGCTTCTCCGCCGCGCCGCTGCTGAAGCCGTCGTGCTTATGAAAAATGAAGACAACATTCTTCCCCTCCGCAAAGACAAGCCGGTCCTGGTCATCGGACCAAATGCCCATATCGCCGCCTACTGTGGCGGCGGCTCTGCCTCCCTAGACCCCTACTACACCGTCTCGCCCTTTGATGGCGTCGCCGCCAAAGCCACCTCCGAAGTTCAATTCTCGCAAGGCGTCTACTCCCACAAAGAACTTCCTCTCCTCGGTCCTTTGCTCAAAACTCAGGATGGTAAACCAGGGTTCACTTTCCGTGTCTACAACGAGCCTCCTTCCCACGAGAACCGCACCCTCGTCGACGAGCTCCATCTCCTCCGCTCCAGCGGCTTCCTCATGGACTACGTCAACCCCAAGATCCACTCCCTCACTTTCTACGTCGACATGGAAGGCTACTTCACCCCCACCGAATCCGGCGTCTACGAATTCGGCGTCACTGTAGTCGGCACCGGCCGTCTCCTAATCGACAACGAAACCGTCGTAGACAACACCAAGAATCAACGCCAAGGCACCGCCTTCTTCGGCAACGCCACCGTCGAAGAACGCGGCTCTAAGCACCTCAACGCAGGCCAAACCTACAAAGTGGTCCTTGAATTCGGCAGCGCCCCCACCTCCGACCTCGACACCCGGGGCATTGTCATCTTCGGACCCGGCGGATTCCGCTTTGGCGCAGCCCGCCAGATCAGCCAAGAGGAACTGATTTCCAACGCCGTCTCCCAAGCCGGCCAAGCCTCCCAAGTCATCATCTTCGCCGGTCTCACTAGCGAATGGGAAACTGAAGGCAACGACCGCGAACACATGGACCTTCCTCCTGGAACCGATGAATTGATCTCTCGCGTCCTCGACGCCAACCCTGACAACACAGTCGTGTGTCTCCAGTCCGGTACCCCTGTTACCATGCCATGGGTCCACAAAGCCAAAGCCCTCATCCACGCCTGGTTCGGCGGAAACGAATGTGGTAACGGCATCGCAGACGTCCTCTTCGGAGACGTCAACCCGTCCGCCAAGCTCCCCGTGACTTTCCCCGTCCGTTTACAGGATAACCCTAGCTATCTTAACTTCCGCTCCGAGCGAGGCCGCGTCCTCTACGGTGAAGACATCTACGTTGGATATAGGTACTACGAAAAGACGAACGTGAAACCACTCTTCCCTTTCGGCCATGGCTTATCCTACACCACTTTCTCCCGTAGTGATCTGAAGCTCACTACCCCCCCGGAGAAGAGCACCCTCACGGACGGAGAACCCATCACCGCCACAGTCAAAGTAAAGAACACAGGCGCCGTCGCCGGCGCAGAGATCGTGCAACTGTGGGTTCTCCCCCCAAAGACAGAGGTGAACCGCCCCGTTCGCGAACTCAAGGGGTTCACGAAGGTGTTCCTCCAGCCTGGGGAGGAGAAACAGGTTGAGATTGTCGTGGAGAAGAAATTGGCGACGAGTTGGTGGGACGAGCAGCGCGGGAAATGGGCGTCGGAGAAGGGAACATACGGGGTGTTGGTCACAGGAACTGGGGAGGGAGAGTTGAGGGGGGAGTTTGGGGTTGAGAGGACGAGGTATTGGGTTGGGCTGTAGGAACGATGTTGAGAAGTATTGATATCTACATGGGTTATGATTTATTATGTGATGGTCAATGAATTGAGATTGGATACTTCTATTTACAGAGATGAGTAAAGGTAGGAAACAAATAGAAGACAACATGGAATTTATACCAACGATACAATATATCCTAGAACAACTGGGTAAGATAGTAGAATAACATACGCACTCCACTACTAGTCAGTCTACTACTATCTACTAGCTATCACTTTGAATCACACTTTACTTTCTTTCTCTCTCTCTCCTCCCCCCCCCCCTCTCTCTCTCTCTCTCTCTGCCTCTCTCCACCTCCAATTCATTCTTTTTGAATACAGACACTGCAATACTTAACTACATATGATCAAACACGCCTCGTGAACCACCACAATATAATACCGTCATGGGTACCTTCGTCACACATACACATATGCACCCTGCTATTTATTACTACCGATTATGTGTGATATCCTTTTTCTATATTTACTTGTATCTTTACCAAACTTGTGAACTTAACGAACTCGTAGTTACATACTATCATTTCTTTCAAAATGTGCATTACTACTACTTCATGTACTCTGTGATAGATGGTGATGGCAGTGGTGGTAGGAGTGATAGTAGTAGTATAGTAAACGGTAGATTGAGTTCGAAGGTGCTGTATGTACTACTACTATACTACTACTAGAGATCTGGTATAGGAAGTAGTATAGTAGCTAGGAGGAGAGAGGGGAGGTGTTGGTTGGTAATAGCTATTATTGTGGATTTTTTCTTACTTTACTATATATATATATATTTCACTGAGGCTGTTGTGCTAGTCCTATTTACAGGAATAGTTTCTTGAAGGAGGGAGTATGAATCAGACGGAATGATCTAGGCTATTATACTTGTTTGATATGTCTTCTCATGACTTCTTATGAGGACTGCATTGATGTATGGTATCCTTATTATCTTTCATCATTTGGTTGATTGAAGTGAAGTGATTAACTTACTCGCATATTCTCTAATACTCCTCTATGATAGACTATACTACCTAGGGGAATCTATAAGTACACACACATATGTGATCCCCTTGAATTAAAAGGGGTGAGGGGATTTATAGTAACACCTTGATGATACTACCCTCGCCGATGATATTCCAGATAGGGTTCATTCCCTCGATCGATGAAAGCTGGCAAAAGAGTCTGGACTCAGACTCAGACCCACATTGAGGCTGTCTGTCACATTGAGCTGGGGTTTAATTGCGCTGGCTGTGGCTGGGACCCTAGAAGCTAATTAATTGCTTGTCAGACTATCAGCACCAGGAACATGACCATGGGGCGGCCCCCCTTTCATCATTATGATGGGTCATACAAATCACTCTTGTATAATATAGTAAACGAGTAGAGCACCCAATTCTCAGACACGGAGCAAAGCCCATATTTTGAAGTAATGATTGACTGAAACTTTGCTTGGTTCCTTCTCACCCTCCTTTAAATCACAGTCAGTGCAGGATTGCCCCCACAATGTCTCCAAAGACCTCTATCATCACCACATACCTCCTCGCCCTCCTCGCCAGTCTAATCGCAGCCCAAACTGTCCGAGAACATCTTGACAGATTTTGTCCCTCCAGAAATGGGCAGGAGGTCCAACTGGAGGAGAGACTATTTGTCACATACCACTGTGGAAAGGCCCCCGAGGACTGGGGTCTTCTGGAGAGCTACCCTGCAGCGATGGATCCTGAAGCCTGCAGTCGCGCCTGTGTAGCCAGCTCTACCTGCAAAGGAAGTCTATACAGTGCGCAACCGGCGAACCGCAGGGCTCCGTGTTTCCTGTATTCGGGTGCCACTGAGCCGGTTCTTGAAGAAATGGATCGTGTGTTGTGGATGTCGTATCGCAAGGTTTCGCCTTTGGACCCGGTTGATTGTAAGGAGGAGCTTGAGTTGGTGGGGGAGTTGGAGGATAAGGTCAGTGGTTTACAGAGTGAGATGGAGCAGTTGAAAAAGGACTTGGAAGCTTGCCAGGCCTCTAGTGGTGGCGAGGAAGGAGATGGAGGCGATAACGGAGGAGGGGAAGAGGGAGGTGAAAATGCTGGTAACGACGGCGGTTCAGGAACTGGACCAAATGATGCTGTTTGTGAGTGTTCGCCCTCATATGAAATGTTTGAAGACACGAAGCTACCTTGGTATGCTGACAAACATCCACCCACCTCCATCAGGTGCTCGAAATGATGAAAACGTCTTTAGCAATGAGAGCAGAAGATGGGAGCTGCACACTGACAGATGTATGAATATCCCCTCCTGTCTGCACTTGTTAAGCAGCTTCGATGCCTTTATTGATCTCCACTAACCCTGCATAGATACCCGTTATGGAACCGGTGCGAACAATGACCTTGGCAGGGATTCCCCCTACTTCAATATTGCAGAATGTATTCATCAGTGCTCTCAGATCCCCAAGTGTAGGATGGTATACTTCCATATAGGTCTCCGCACTTGTTTCTTTGCGACCAGACCAAGAACTTTGAGTGGACGTGCTCCCAATTATGACGCTGCCTGGGCTCTTGGATCCTACAATGACGCTGTCGCTATGCACGGTGCTGCCGTTGCTGTCAAAGCCTGCCCGCATTCGAAGTGCTTCATTTTGTTGGAAGGTCTCGAGTTTGGAAGTGTCCGTTGCCTCATTTGTTGGCTGTTCCAGCTGTATGATGTGTGGATTAGCGTTGATCGTAATCAACGAAGTACCAAACTCGTATATTCAAGCGACTTCCCCACAGTCTTGTCAATGTGGTGACTGAAAGCAACGAAGGTTACGAGTAGGAGTGGCCAGTTTGGCGCTGAGCTCAGGGACCCATCTCCTTGCCAAATCATCAACCTTTGACGTCTGCACTTCGCATCGAAGATATGTTACCTGAAGCCTGCCCACAGAGATATCATTGGCCTTGGGCGTCACATGTCTCCCACTTGGCTGTAAGCATTGTTCAGACCCGAAGACTTCATTCGAATGTAGTAGTAACAGGGGATAAGAGGGAAACCGAAAAGGAGCCTGGCAAATAAAGCGCGAGGCGTCGAAGGAAGAAGCGAATCGACCAGAGATAGTATCAGGAGGCGAGCAGCAATAGATGATTGATTGTAACTGCGACGATTGGAAGCCATGCCAAACGTGAATTGCTGCTTGTAGGCACTAGTAAAGGGCCAAATAAACATGAAGGATACCAAATCACTCGCAAGATCAGTCTGATAATCACATGATGATCATGCCCTGCGCTTTGTTCGTTCTAGGTACAACATAACAAGATGTAATATTGTATGAGTCATTCAATGGCTTTTGTGTAGGAGGTATCCGTCAAGAGAAGCCTTTGATGAAGATGACCTAAGGTCGGACAGTCTAGAGCATCCATGGTTATTTCCATGTAATCATAGAATAAAGGAAGACCCCTTGCAGTGACAGTGTCATGGAAGTCACCGTAAAGTTGCATCTCTGAGGTATATAGAGCGCATGAGTCTAAGTAACTCTGCAATAGCTTGGGGCTCCGTTCCAAACACATCTTGTTGGGAGCAAACGATTACAGTCGCGCGGAGTATACCGCTTTTCACCTGAGACTGGGAGTGGTATAATATTTGGATCTAGACCGAGTTGTAATTCCCGTTTGCTCCAGGTGCAACGCTGCTGTACATACCGTATCCTTATTACTTTGCTGCCTGTGCCTGTGCCACTGCTGCTGCTGCTGTTGTTGTTCCAATCCCGACCGAGGCATTTTGGAGGGCTCTTCCCTGGTCAACCCACACCAGTACCATCATTTTGACAACCATCACGACTTCTATTTTGGTATTCCCCCATATTAGCACTCTTGAAGAGATGATCTCTGCTATTCCTCGATACAACTTGCTTGTGATATCGTCCATATGGCCGACAACAAGGAAGATGCCTTCACGCGGTCGGTTACAATCCCCTTGATCAGGGGCAGATGAAGCTATTCATCAGATATAAATACCCCCTCATTATCCAGACAATGAGTTGGAGATAGATGCAGAATCAATCGGTTTCTCAAAGCCACCTGGTTCTTCTTACAGTCTCTCAGCTCCCTGCAAAAGATCATGCACAGATCTGCCTCTCATCTCACCAAAAACAACCTCCTCCTCCCTTCCAGCAACTACAACGCACTGCCATCCAGGCCCCTGTTTACAGCAATGGCTTCCATCAAGAATGATGAGCATCAGCATCAGTCATCGACCAATGACCCAAGGGAAGTTGAAGAGAAGCTATGCCAGCTAATGAAGGACAATTTGCACGCTACCGCAAACGATCCCACTGAAGCTGAGAAACAGCCTCATCAGCCAGGCTCGTTTCCTCCTCTCGACGGTCCTCCCACCGACTCGTCTTCGTGCCCCGACAACGACAACAAGACGAACGAAGAAGCGGATGAACCGAGGATCCAAGCAAAGGAGGCAACTGGGTTTAACAACGACCCGTCTCCAAGCCCCAACGATGACAAGAAGACGGACAAACGAGCAGATGAAGAAGCGGATGATTCGACAGCTCCAGCAAAGGACGAAACCAAGCCCGCCGACGACGAGCTGTCCGAGTCATCGGAAGACGAGTCGAATTCCCCCGAACCAGACCCAAGCGAAACTAAAGCCGACAGACTGCGGCGCGAGCGACGGGCCCAGTTGGATGAGTATATCAAACGGGGTCGCAAGAAGCTAATGCCGCGCGATATCTGGCAAATGGAACAAGACTTCCGACGTACAGACTGGCAGGCTTGCGCTACAGATCCATCTTATCAGCCACCAGTAGGCACAGAACTGGAGCTGAGCGAAGCCGAAGCCGAAGAGCTACAGCGCCAGGAACGAGAGTGGTGGAGGTTAGAAGAGAAGGATTGTATGTCCTGCTGCCTGATACCGGACGAGGAATGGTTGGCCGATCTGAAAACCGAGCAGACAAGTATAAATGAAGCGGCGGACGAATCGACAACCCCAGCAAAGGAAGAAACCAAGCCCGACAACCAGCTGCCTCAGCCATCAGAAAACGAGCCGAATACCCAGCTTTGTCCAAGCGAGACCAAAGCTGACAAAAAAAGGCGCGAGCGCCGAGCCCAGTTAGACAGTTATTTCGAACTCAATCAAGGGAGTTTATTGCCCCGTCTTGTCTGGAAAATGGAACAAGAGTTCCGACTTACAGACTGGCAGGCTTACGCTACAGATCCATCTTACCGGCCACCGTATACACCACTGGGACTGAGCGAGTCTGAAGCTGAAGAGCTGCGACGCCAGGAACGAGTATTCTGGGAGCAAAAAGACTTGCCATATGACAGAAACTCCAGGTTCGTGGAACTGGAATATGAGGGAATTATACCCAATGACGATTGGTTTTACGATCTTAAGGCCGAGCCAATGAGTAGGGAGGAAGGGCTGCGCTACTATGAGCAAAACTTCCGTACGAAGAAGAGTAAGGGACATGAGGATGATCGAAATATTACAGCGGTCGCTCCAAACGAAGTCGAAAACAGCCTTGCTAGCGACCAGATTAGAACCGATCCTTTGGTGCCATCCAAGCTTTGAAACCTTCTTCTTTCATCTCTTTCTTGGGGATATTTTCCAGTGCTACGAGTGTTGACTACTAGCGAAATGGTCATTGAGATCAGTCGTGGTCCGGTTTTCTCTACCTACTTGGAGTAAGGACTGCCCCTTCTCGCAATCCCTCCTAAGTCCTTCGTTTAGTTCATCAATATAAATCATTCTTATAAGAAGCATAATATTCAAAATCCTCCAAAGTGCCAAATTCCCATCACCTTAATAGTCGCCCAAAAAAGTAGCATCGAAATTTCCAAAAAAAGACCATGGCTTTGAATTCAATACTCTGTCGTGGAGCATCACTTGCATCTAAGCGGAACGAGGCATGTGGGACACCTTTGTCGAAAACCATTACTAGATTAGCGACAGCTATTGAATCATGTGAGACAAATGACGCTGGTATACCTGGTTTATTATCGAATCTGTTACCCCCTTGATAGAAGATCCAAGCCTCAGACGGCTGTTGGTTGCTTTTATAACACCACTTTTGGGAGTTGTTGTGCTGCAAATAGCAGTTCTGGCCGGGAACGTCATTACTGTGATATGTCACAGGAAGTATATCATCCGGATCCACGGAACTCGGTTCGCAAAAGGCTAAAAGGATAATTCTTCACCGGAAGTAACGGCAAGCAAAGGCTACGGATGAGATATGTCAATCAGCCGGGTGTACTACGAACTGCATGTAGATGGATTATATACTTATAGAACTCATATTTCGCCGATGGCGCAATGTTTGAATTGGGCTTTGTACAGTACCGTCGAAACAAACGTTGACGCCAGCTCTCTGCCGTGTCTGGGAAGCGAAGGTCAAAGGTAAGGTCTTGGCGCTCTGGTCAAGTGTTCTTACCGATGTGAGCTTTTTCACTCGGCTTGATACCATCTGCATATTTTCCACGGACCTTGGAGATGTCAGATGTCAGATATATGATTGTCGTTCTTGGGTGGGGTATGACGCTAAGTTACCACACGCGACCAGATATGAACGATTGACGCTCTTGTCAGCGTCCGCAATACTTCTTTGACCTCAGCATAGAGTGTATCACGGATCTTATCCTCATCGTGGACGTCTATATACGACATTTGAGTGCTGAAGGGACATAGGCAGGACCCTTGGCTTTCTATCGAAGATTCGTATTCCTTTCCTCTGATATGTTCGAAAAATACTCCTTGCGAAACGATATTAAGATTGCAGGGACCGAGTCCGGCAGAAAAAGGTCTTTCGTGAGAGGAGCGGTACAACGCCATTTATCTTGCCCATGGATGATCCAACAAAGGCCACGATAGATTGCGTGTTGAATATTCCACAAACGAGTAGCTCGCGTGTGAAGATTTCGCAGAATACCCGGACTGATCGAAAGGGGCAGGCAGAGTGACATAGTCTCATATATTTGAGAAAACAAGAAGAGGAACAAACCAGCCAACCGGACATATATACCGCAGAGGTTATGCGTCTTCCCGGGGTTTGAATTTAGGAAGGAGTATATATAATGAGAAAGAATGTGGCATTAAGACACGACATGCTTCAAGTCACAAGTTTGGCCAGGATGCATGAAGGTCTCTATGTGGATGTTCAAGTCATGATGGGCCCGGTTTCACATAGATAGAGGGCGGCGTGCCATGAGCAAAGAACTAAATGACTGTCAGTTGCAGGACTCATAATTACGGATTCAGGTACTTAATACATATGTATTACGTCTGAACGCAAATAAATCTTCCGTTATTTTTTTCTTTTTCTTTTTATTTTTTCTTTTTTCTTTTCCCCCCGTTCTCAGAAGATCAGACATCGCATGGTCATGCCCTACAGCCGCGCAGGACGTTAACGGATCAAAGAAAAAGAATTAGGGGGAGAGAGACAGAGAGAAAAATATATAGGTTGATGAATGAATCATAAATCGGAAGATTCCAACTTGGAAATCAAACAATCAGGCAATAATAATTCGGAGCGGGCCGATGAAATGGCAGGGATTTGGCGGTATCTCTGACATAGAGGTATTCACAATGAATTAGTGACTAAATTGAGAAGATATACATTCAACGATAGATGAAGTGACAAATAAAATAGGGTAAGGGAATGTATTCGAGATACAAGCGTTACACTCCTTTATAGCGTACATAATGGACAGCGAAACAGCCAATACATTATCGGTTAAACGCTTGCACGTTGAGATTGCTTTTCCTTGAGTGGATACCGTTGCAAATAATGTGATATGGTGCGGTAATCTAACCACAAGAGAAGTAAAACATCTTAAACAAGGCGAAATTACCCAGCACATCTCGTGACTCGAAGAAGGACCTCTATACAGTTCAGCTTAAAGAGCTTTTAGCTGGCCACTGACTCGCTCCTATTTTATTCTAAATCTGTGCTCCGTACTACGTATTGTCCATGGGAACCGCCCTGACCAACCAGACTAATTTCCGTCGATCGTCTGGGGTGCGGTTCGGGCCACATGGTTACCCGGGCTATGATCCACTCCCGGAGAACCGAAGCATTCCAGGCCCGCCGAGGGATTTATGTAGAAGAATGTATGGAGCAGAGCCCAAGCTATAATGAAAGAGATCTCAGATAAGTGCAACTTCTCTGTTTCTCTTTCTTTTCTTTTCTTTTCTTTTCTTTTTTTTTTTTTTCTTCCTTGTGTGTACTTCTCGAAAGATGATCATGGCGTGACGGAACTATAAAAACTACAGGGTAGAAATGAAGGTACTTTGGTTTGATTTATTACTACCTTATCAACAGCAAGCAGATCACATAACATCTGATAGCATTGCATACCCTGTCGAGGGTCTAGAGGAGGCATTCCTGCTCGCTTGAGGTTATTTTGCGGCACGTAGAGCGTTGTATAGCAGGGCGAGCTCGCCGAAGAAGCCGCCGGGGTGGGCGGTGCCATGTTTGGTGCCGATGCTGAGGGCAGTCTTTTGTTGGGTCAAGGCGGTGGCGAAGTAGTAGTCGAATGTGCCCTTTTCGACAATGTACAAGTTGTCACCTATGCCGCCTTGGCTGATGATCTGGTGGTGCAGGTTAGTAGTATGTCGTAAACCGTGTTTCTCGATGCTAGGCCTGTATCTTTGTGGCTATCTATACATTGGTTCCCTTGCTCGAGATAACCTTTTCAACGAAGGCATCCAAAGTTTATGTATATTGCTCTTTCTCTGAAGCGGAAAACAGAAAGACTTCTTTCACCGCGCGCACAAGACGATGGGCTTGTTCCTCGGTCCTGGCGTAGCTCGTGCTTGGCAAGCTCTGCTGGCCGGGCACGAAGGATTTGCGGACACGGAATAACGTCGAGGTGATAGTATGTACTGGGGTGCATAAGGCAAGGCAGACATGCCATCTCCGGAAACTTGCAATGCGCTTGCTAGGGGATAGAGGAGAAATGGATCTTGAAATTAAGATAGCTCCGCATACTTCTGGACGTTCTTCTTGTGCTGATGTTGGATAGACTGTAGAGTTGGCTGCAATGCTCTGCTCCAATGCGACAAGGCATAACTATGAGACTATGTGAGATTGTGGTCAACCTTGAATAAGGTTAGAATATATAGCTGAAAACTTGGGGTGGCAGTTAGGTCATCAACCAGTTTATCCAGATCTGGAATCAATGGCTAGTGTGGTTACTCACGTATTTGCCATCGAGCTTATGTCTTCATCGGCCGTGTGAAGTGTGCAAGCCAGTACAACATGAGGCTAGAGAAAGTGTGATTTTTGTAGTCCGAACTCATGCATTGGCCATAAATGCCTTAGACGAATACGATACAGTTCTTTCATTACACTAGAAACATGATCGCCAAGTTCAACACGGTCCAACTACTAATCCAAATATCGAAAACCCTGCAAGGTCCCGCCAAATCCACAGTAACAATATCCGCCATTTATCTAGTATTAATCTCGCCAAGTTGACGACAGCCATGTATAGTAGAACCGATTTCATACATCGGCTCTATCTATATTCGCCAAAATCATTGACCTTCCAACAGCCACTCGCGGAAGTCCCCAAAGTCATCCATATGATAACGGGACCATTTCAAATGATACAAAGCAAACCCCTCCACAAAAGAATTAACCACAGTTCGAAGGTCCTCATCTCTCAAGCAGGCTGCACGTAATCTCCGAATACTATGAAGACACTTGTCAACCGTCATCTCCAACGCTTCAGTAGCGGAGCAGCCCTCGACTTCAGATACAAGCATCAAATTAGTATCTTGCTCGTCGCCGATAATCGACTCCTTATAGAAGGAAACGATATCATTGAGCTGTGGCACAATCGCTGCCAGATCAGGAATTAGGATAATGTAAGACGCAACATCAAGGCTGCCTTTGGGGAAGTTGGCGAATGCATAGGCCTCTCCGATTCCGCTCTTTTGCCGCAGGAATTCGGGAAACATGCTGGTATTGCGATCAACCTTAAGACGTCCCTTCTGCTCTACTTCGAAGACGTTCACACTGATGTAATCCATTGACGACTTGAAGATCATGTCACCAACAAAGGGGTCGTAGCGGGCGCAGAGGTCCTCCAAGGCTGAGAATAGGCCACGAATGTAGGCCCACTGTGGCTGGTGGATTCCCAAGAGGTATGCGCGGTAATACTTGAGGTTCTCTCTGAACTCGGCTCCCTCACAGAGATCATCAATTGAGAAGATGTATGACGTCCAGACTCCGATGGACAATTGGGTGTCACGATCTAGGTGTGGGTAGAAGCATCGTGCCATAAAGGCCGCTCCTTTAGAATACTTGTAGACGACCTCTGAGGGCAATCCACAACGGCTGAAGTGGAGGAAAACTTCTCCGTCGAAGGCATCATCGGCTTGGACGTCGGGTATAGTGACGAAGACTTCTCGAAGGAAGGCGGATACCAGGGTAAAGAATAGTCTGACTGGATCACTGGTGGCAGGGTCCGCAGAATTCTGGTTAACAGAGAAGGGTTGACCCATTGTTGGGGCGTACTGAAATGGAATTTCTGAAGGGATTTGTGTGAGAATGATGGTTATGATGCTGAGATGGTTGATGGGCTACAAATCATTATTTATGGACAACCGCAGCTACTTGGTTCAGCAGTCATGATTCACATTGAGTGCCATTTGGTGAATGCTATCCATGTTAACAGATAAGACCGACAAATACATTTTTTGCACACAAATCTAGAATTGGACGAAAATACGGAAAGAGAAGGAACATGTGGGCACGGTGGCTTGAGCACACCGGCTTCGGCACCCTAATGTGAACGGTGTGAGACAGCGGAAGATCGGTTCACACTATGCCCTAACTGGCATGTCACATCTCACGTTGTGTTAGTCTTCAAAGGATGTTGGCCAATGCTATAATTCACACTGGTCATTGGTTCTTATTAGTTTGATCTGCCTGCACGTGCCACATGTGTGACCTGGAATCGTAAGTAACTCAAAGAAGCACAGGGATGATCCCGGAACATCAGATCAACGGAAGTTTATTTTCATGGCATCCCAACTTCGAGCTCATCTCATGCCCTACGAAGCTCAGTACAACAAAGAACTCCCTTTGTAAGCATCATCGTAATCGGCGTCTACATACAGCCAATCTCAGCATGCTTTGTCCGAACAGTGCTGAAGTGTACATCGAAGGATGGCCAACACATACAAATATGCAATGTCAAGCACATGTCACAGGCATGATGTCTCCCAAACATATCTGAGTGATAAACATTGCATATGCTTAGATCTTAAAGTTCCAGTAGGCACAGAACAAGTAAACAATGTGGGGGAGTTGGTCTGAGTGCTTGCTCTATCTCTCTATGGAAGTTATGCCCAACCCGAAATATCACAAAAGGATCATAGACCGTCGTGATCAATCACCTCTGGAATGCCGTGTGCCCGTTACGAATTCAAGCTCGCCACTTGCCTATGAGTACTTTATTTGTCATCCTTGCCGTTTTTGGACTTACTTCACCTTGTTTTCACACATTTTCAAATCTTCCTCGTTCCTGCTACATACGGTGGACCGAGTTAGATTTGCTTCTCGCCACATGATAGTGAGTGACTGCTTTCTCAGTTCCTTTTGGTTCCAATTCGAAGCGGTGACTCGTATCTATATATTTGTGAACCCGATCCTCTCACTGCAAAGTACCCTTCTCTTCAAACATACTCTCACCTCTGACCCTCTCAACCTCTCAACCTCAGTAATCTCAATACTTCTGAGCAACTACCAAGCAAGATGACCTTAATCACGGATGAATTATCTCTTCCATTCATTCTCAAAGCCTTTGCGTGGGCCTTTGTTCCTGTGAGCACTCTCGTCCTCCCAGCGATGTGCGTATTAATCCACTAACAAGAACAACAGTACTCGATCATATGCGTCATCTACAACATATTCTTCCACCCTCTCAAGCACTATCCCGGCCCTCGTCTCATGGCCTCTAGCCGCCTTCCTATTTTCTTCTTGGTCTTGGTTGGCAAGTCAGTTAATACGTTGGAAAAGCTGCACGCAAAGTACGGCCCAGTGGTACGAGTGGCTCCGGATGAGCTCAGCTTCACGGCCGCAAGCGCCTGGAAAGATATCTACTCGAGTAATGCAGCTTGGCCCCTCGCTATACCCCGGAATATGGTCTTTTTCAGGGCTATGGCAGGAGAATATGGTTTCCATTCTTTGGTCACCGCCAACAACCAAGATCATGCCAGACTGCGACGTCTGTATTCCCGGGCTTTCTCAAAGCAAGCACTGGCTGCTCAGGAGCCTCTGATTATTCAGCATATTGACAAGTTAATCAAGAAGCTTTATGCTGAGATTGATCAGACAGCCAAACCTGTCGACATCAATTTGTATTTGAACCTGGTCCTCTTCGACATGATCAATGACCTTCAATTCGGGGAACCGCTTCACTTATTGGATGATACAACCCACCGGGCCTTTGCGCGCGCCTCGCTGATCATAGTACCCAGTGCCGCCGTAATCCAAGCACTGGCAGACTTCCCTCTGGCCAGGATCATACTCAAGCCAATTCTTCGCGAGGTATTCAGGATGCGACGACTCTACTTTTCTACAACGGACCAGAGGCTCGAGAAACGACTGGCATCGAACTCATATCGCGCAGATATCGTGCAGTTCCTCACAGATGCCAAGTCAGATAACATATCGCTAGAAGAAATACAGGCAAATGCACCACTCATGAATATCGCAGGATCTGGGACATCTGCGGTGGCTTTGAGCGGCCTAATCGCCCATCTTCTTCTTGCCCCACACATACTCAAGCAGCTGCAAAATGAGGTTCGTTCAAAGTTCAAGACCAGTTCCGACATTACTATGAAGAACATGGTCGACATGCCCCTTCTTGATGCCTGCATTAAGGAAGTCCTCCGTGTGTTCCCGGCTGTTCCCGTCACTCCTGGGCGCTTGGTGCCGTCTCCCGGGGTCACTATAGCTGGGAAGTGGGTTGCCGGTGGCACTCGTGTCTATGTTACCCCTCTTGCGGCTTTTCATTCGACTGATAACTTTCATGATCCGGAGACTTTCGCTCCTCAGCGATGGTACAATACAAAGGGGGAGAACAGTTTCGCGTCTAAGGATGTTAAGGATGCGTATAAGCCGTTTTCTGTCGGTCCTTATAATTGCATTGGTCAATAGTAAGTTCTACACCCACATCACCCTGTCCTGTCGTTTCTTCAATGTATCATTTGTTTCAACCTCTCTATATGTTTATTTTCTTTCCCTGTCCGAGAAGTCAAGGAATACACTGACCTTCCACTAGCATGGCGCACTACATCGTGTCACTGTTCATTTGCAACTTGCTCCTGCACTTCGATTTGGAGATTGCTACGAATCCCAAAACTTGGCTTACGAACCAGAGGGCCTGGATCGTGTGGCACAATCCACCTCTGAATATTAAGCTGAAGCCAATCAAGGCATAGAGTTGCTACTGGTCCTGGAAAGTAGTGAAACGCTTAGGAGTGGAACTGGAGAAGTGACCAGCTGGATGAGGAACATTTGTTGTTCGGAATAAGCTCACGCACGTGATATTGCTAGTGCTGATACTCGAATGAGCTTTAATATCTATTTACTTTTATCTTAATTAACTGCATATGTAATAGTTCAAAAGAAAAACTCATTGGCATAACTACATCCATAAATTTATCTTAGATGCTGAATCTTTAAGCAGTGTAAGACAAGCATAGCTCATTCCGAGCCAGCACGGGGGTTTCTCAAGACTGGTCTGATGTTATATCATCGTTCCACTTAAATGAGATTAATCAGGACCCGGGTTTCTCTGAGCAGGTCATAGTAATTAGGGTACCAGCTGACCCGTCTTCCTTTCTGCGGCCCGTTGCGGCTGCCGGCAGCGGGGCATCTTACGATATAGAAAGTTGGTTGAGTATGAATAAGGATGAATCAATAATCATTAACGTTGATTCGACTTCCTCTGGTTGTGCCATCATATTATTCCATGCTATTTACATAACGTATACATCTTGACAATACACCGTGACATTCGTGTACATTTCATATATATATATATATATATAT